CTGCCTTATACTTTACATTTATCTATTTCAAAATGGCTGCCTTATACTTTACAGCCTCCCCAGTGGTTGATATTCAGCTATAGGATAACCTCTCAGGTAGCTACTAGAGGAGGCGATACTTATTACTTACTTTGAGCAGCTGAGGACACAGGGGCTACTCTACCATCCCCAGCCTTGCCTCTGGCTCCTGACTCCCCATTTCTGTGCTATTTCTCCTACCCAACAGCTTTGCTCTCTCTTCAAACCAACCAAAATGGCAAGTGTGAGTTTCACAGCTGGTGGGGGACTTTCTCATGTACCAACCCCTTCCCACAGGTATGGCAACCAGGGCTTGCATGTGGTGTTCCAGTTCCCAGTCTGGACTCTCCACTGACACTCCTCTTCCTCAGCAGCCAAACCAGTTAGTGGGCTGGAGTTTGAGAATTCAGGGTTCTGGGAAGCATGTGGGGAGGGGTGATCCAGAACCAGGAGCACTGCTGGAGAGAAGGTGGCACTTGGAACCATGTTCCGAAGGAAACTGGCATCACACAGGCACCTTGCAACCTCCAGCCTCCCCTGCTCTCATGTCCCATCCCTTCCTCAAGAGTCTCCATCCTGAGATGCATTATCCCAAGAGCCGAGGGTTGGGCAGGGAGGAGACAAATCCATCTACAGGAGATCTGGAAGAACTGGGAGGAAGAGGAAGGGGACTTGGCGGCTCAGAGTCTAGAAGTCTGGCCCATGTCTGCTAGCCTCTTCCTGAGGAGCTGGGCAGAGCCCTGGCTTCTCTCCCCCGGAAACATTAGTACCAACCCAAATGCCTGTTGACCTGAGTTATGAAGACAGAGCCTTACAGTCCAGGTAGTTTCCTGAATCTTTTTTTAAATATATTTTTAACTATAGATGGACACAATATCTTCATTTATTTATTTTATGTGGTGCTGAGAATCGAACCCAGTGCCTCACACATACTAGGCAAGCGCTCTACCACTGAGCCAAAACCCCAGCCCAGTTTCCTGAATCTTAATGTCAAAGAATATTACATACACCAGGAGGGACCTTCAGGATTCTCTAGTCTAAACCCCTTAGGGTACAGAGGAGGAAACAGGCTCCAAGATGTGATGCAGGCCCAGAACCCAGGTGCCATGACCCAGAGTTACTCTTTTCAGGAGACTATGGTACTTTCTGTCCTGAGCTGAAGGACACTTGGAAGGTCACTTCCTCTTCCTCTTCTTCCAGGCAAAACTCGGACTCCATTCAGCCTACCTCACTAAGAATCTCTCCTGAGTGTTGAATAGATGGATCAATTAAATTTACAGGTATCTGCTCTTTTCCCCTAGAGTTAGATCCACTGTTCTTCCTCCTCAGGCACCCTGTTCTATTGGTTTTCTGACTCACGTTTGAAAAATCCCTAAATTGTCTAATCACATTCTCCCACTCTGCAATTTTTCTTCTTTCCTTTTTGTAGTGTTGGATGTCAAGTCCAGGGCCTCACACATATTAGACAAGCCCTCTACCACCGAGCTACACACTCAGCCTTCCAATCTACAGTATAAGTGGAGCAAAGCCCAGCTCACCCTTTTTTTTCCTACTTGGCTGGTGCAGAACCAACTACACAATTTGTGGGATCCAGTGCAAAATGAAAAGTCTGGGCCCTTTGGACATTATTAAGAATATTATGGCCAGGTACAGTGGCATACACCTGTAACCTCAGTAACTCTGGAGACTTGCTTGCAGGAGGATGGCAAGTTTGAGACCAGCCTTGGTAACTTAGTGATACTCTGTCTCAAAATAAAAAATAAAGTGGGCTGGGGATATAGCTCAGTTGGTAGAGTGCTTCCCCGCATGCACAAGGCCTGGGTTTAATCCCCAGCACCACAAAAATTTTAAAAAATAAAAAGTGTTGGGGATGTAGCTCAGTGGTAGAGCTCCTCTGAGTTCAACCCCCAGTACCATGCACACACAACAAAGAATATTATGAAGAATCTTGAGATAGAAATAACAGAGCATTAAACAAAGCATGGTTCCCCGAATATCTGCACTGTTCACACACCTATGAGGCCAGCCCTGCCCTGGTCTGAAGAATAATGCGTGGCCAGGCACGGTGGCACCTGCCTGTAATCCCAGTTGCTTGGGAATCTGAGGCAGGAGGATCACCAAGTTCAAAGCCAGCCTCCTCAACTTAGAGAGGTCCTAAGCAACTCAAGAAGACCCCCCCACCTCTCTCTCTCTCTCTCTCTCTCTATATATATATATATATATATTTTTTTTTTAAAGGGCTGGGAATGTGGCCCAGTGGTTAAGCACCCCTGGGTTCAATCCCCAGTACAAAAAAATAAAATAAAAGAGAGAGAGAGAAATGCTTGGACTCCATACTTAAAGCTGGACCAGAAAGTATGGCCATTGTCTTGCTTTCTTACTTTCACACTGGGCTCTGTGTCACCAGCCATCTGTAAAGAAGACTCTTGTTCCAGGTTCACCCACACTCTCTTCTCAGGGCCTCTAGGCCTGTGTCAGGCACTGCTGGGAAATTCTGTGTATCTAAATCTCAATCGAAGTCCTGGGCTGTTTCCTCTTGTTCTGTCCTCACTGAATATGAGGAACAGCTGGTTCCTTTGAGCAATTAATTCTTGAAGACTTGGACACAGCCTGTAATTCCTTTTCCATGTCCTCATTGGCCTGAGACTCCAGTGCTTTCTCCAACTCTTGTGTCCCTTCTCTGACACCTCCCCCAGGTTCTCTGTGTGCTGTGGGAGGCATGGGGTTTGCAAGAGCCCCCCAGCAGCACCAGTCATGGTCCAGAGGGCTCAGTGCCCTGAGAAGATGGGGGAGACTTCAGCACCCATGAGCAGCACCCTTCCACACAGGGTCCTCTCTTCTTCCTCCCAAAACCTACCCTACTACTTTTACCTGTTTCATAAACCCTGCCCACATAAAGTCTTCCATTCTCACTGACTCCCATCAGTGACTCTCAGCTCTTGACTGCCTTGATGATATCCCACATTCATCTCCCCAAGCGTCAGGCCTTGGACTTGGGCTATGGGTATCCCATGGAATCTTGGCCCAGAGCAGATATCCATGGGTTGGGGGAGGGAGAGGTTTACCAGAATTTAAAGCAGGGCAGAGAGGAGTGTGGGTGTAAAAGATGGTCACACACCACGCTCCCAAATGTGTAGTAGTAGAGTGCCAAAGTGGCCACTATAATCTGAAAGAGCAGATAGCGTAATCCCATAGTACTTCCTATTGGCTGAAGGACATGGTTCTGTCCTGACACTGAAATTTGGGTGTGTCAAGGTTCTGGGAATTCATGAGGCTCACAAATTGTGAAGCAGCTGTAGGGTGGGGGATGGGGAGGCTTTCAGCAGAGGAAGTGAGGTCAGTCAACTATTGATGCCTGTCTGAGCCTTTGGCCATTGTCTCCCCCAGCCTCTATTCCTGTCAGTGTGTGGGGTGGGGTGTCACTGGCCCATCTTGCAGAATCCCCATGTTAGAGAAAGATACCTTAGAGGTCTGTCTACTCCTTCGTTTTTCCACTGGACACTGAGGCCACTTCCTCTCCAGCCTTTTCATATATATTAACTTATTTAACAAACTCCTTCATTGAGGGCCTACTTTGTGTGGGCTCAGCCAGCCAGCATCTTGGCTGTAGACTGAGATAAACATCATGTCCTTTGATTCTGCCTGCAACCAGAGGAGTCTGGCACTGTTTATTATGACCATTTAACAGATGAGGGGCTGAAGCATGGAGAAGTGTCCCTTGCCTAAGGTCATACAACTAACCTGGATTCCCAGTAGGTAGTCTGACTTCAGAGTCTGTTTGGATAACCAGGAGGCTAGGAATGAAATCTTGCCACAGATCACTCTTAGTGACTGAAGCAAAGCGTGATAGGGTCTGCACTCGCAGAACATGTCAGGGCAGGAGAAAGTCCCTTGTTCTCTTGATCTCCATTCGGTTCCCCTCCCCAGCTGCCTGGTCTCAGCAGTGTGAGGCTCAGTTCCCTACCTCTAGAGTTCCATTTTGGCGGACTGGGGCTTTTCCTGGACCGGGAAAATCCAAGGCAGCTCCCGGTGTCTCCATTCTGGCCACCCCTGGTAGGGAGCGCGTCCTTGTAACCGCAATGATGCGGACTGGAGGAGCTCAGACTACCCTCATCAGAGACCCAGAGCCGCCCTATTTGGGCCGCTTTACCCCAGTGTTGAAGGCAGACAGGGGCGGCCGCGGAAAAGGGGAGGGGACAGGGTGTGTGTGAAGGGGCTGGAGGGAGGAGGCGAAAAGATTTGGGCCGAGGGAGAAGTCTCAGAGGGCGGAGCCAAAATTTATTCGGACCCTGCGGGCCCCAAACTCTGCCCTCGCTCCTCTGACACTCCTAGACCGAGAACCGCGGGTTAAAGGCTGGGTAAGGACAGGTAACATCCCTCCGCCTGCCATCCTTGCTCCTGTCCTTCCCTAGATGCCCCCCTTATGGACGCCAGATTCCAGGCTGCTCCCTCAGCGGCTGCGAGCGCCCCCACTCATCCCAGCTGTTACTCTTTGCCTCCTGTCTCAACTCTGGCCCCCACGGCGCTGGGCCGGGACCCCCACGGGACCCCCACGGCGCAAGTCCAAGGCCCGCCCCCTCGGGGAGGCGGATGTGGGAGGCTGGGCGGGGGCGCTAGCCGGTGACCCGGAGCTGGGGGTGGCCGGGACCGCGGCCGCGCTGGGGTCTGGGAGCCGCGCGGGGGAGCGGCTGGTCCCGGGGCTTGGCTGGGGTCGAGCGGGCGGCCGGTCGGCGAGCTGGGCAATAGGAAACGGTTTATTAGGAGGGAGTGGTGGAGCCGGGCCAGGCAGGAAGACGCTGGAATAAGAAACATTTTTGCTCCAGCCCCCTTTCCAGTCCCGGGAGGCCGCCGCGCCAGCCGCGCCGAGCGAACCCCTGCCCGGCCCCAGCACGTCCGGGGCTGCGCCCGGACCTCGGGACCCGGGTCCCCACTCCAGTGCTTGCCGTGTATCGGCGGCCGCCACCGGGGAGAGGAGGCGGCCCCCGCCCGCTCACGCTCGCGTGGTGCCGGCTGGCACGAAGGTGAGTCCAGGGCGGCGGCCAGGATGCCAGACGGCGGCTTGACCCCCGCCCCAGTGAGCCCTTGATCGAGTGATCTCTAAGACCTCTCGGAGAGGTCGCAGTAGGGCCAGTCCCAGCTCAGGATGCGCTGTCTGCGTACATCTGAGACTGGAGGTGACATGGGGGCTGTCACTTAACTTCTCTCTTTTCCTATCCTCATCCATGAAGTGGGCAGAAGCGTTCTTGCCTTGCCTTTCACATGTCCCTCCAGGGCGCTGGGTTGACCAGGGAGGGTGTCCATTTTCATTGCTGTTGAGCCTCCTCTAGGAGCCACCTTCCTCGGACTAGCCTTTGAAGCTCTTGCTTAAGGTACCCGACACTTTTCACTCCTTCCCACAAGCCTCACTTCCAACCCTGGATGGTGGCATAACTCCCATACCATGGCTTTCTTCCTTCAGGGTCCAGGTTTTCAGTCTGCCTGGACACTGAAATCTCTGAGGTCCCTGGATTGGCTGCCGGCTCCTTCTTTTCCTTTCCAAGGAGGGTCCATAATGGGCAGTAGCGCTCATCCTCTATTTATAGACAGCCTCTGGCTGAGTTAAGATCTCTCCTCTCAGATCCCTCACTGTTTCATTGGCCCAGTACCTGTCTTCTCACCTGTCCTCCCCTGTCATTGGGCTGTTAAAAGTAGCTATCATTTATTGAGTATTTACTATGCACACCTGTAGATATAGTTTGTCTTATTTAATCCCCTTCACAATCCAACAGAAAAAGGATTAATTTATGCCCAACCTAATCAGGTTCAGATTTGAACAACTTGTCCAGTGCATCTTGAGTGGTTTAAATAGTAGGATTGGGGTTTTGGTAGCATTGATTAAGTGATTACTGTGTACTACTTAGTAATCTGCTAAATAACTTTACTACTTACACCTATGAAATAAACACTATTACTAGTCCCATTTTACATGAGGAGAAGCCTAAACCAGAAAGGCTAATAACTTGCTCTAATCTTACAGCACTAAGTGTCAGAGGTGGGATTTGATCTCAGGTCCACATGATCCCAAGCCCTAACTTCTAGGCTATATAGTAGTCAGATTCCTTTATCTATAGTTTTGCTTTCCTGAGGTTTCAGTTACCTGCAGTCAACTGTGGTGTTAAAATATTAAATGGAAACATCCAGAAATAAACAATTCATAAATTTTAAATTGTACACTGTTCTGAGAAGAATGGTGAAATCTTGCATCATCCTAGTCCTTCCTTCCTGGGACATCATGCTATATAGACTGCCCGTCTATTAATCACTTAGTAGCCATCTTGGTTGTCAGGTTGGCTGAGGAGGTTTTGCAGTGCTTGTGTTCAAGTAACCCTTATTTTACTTAATAACCACCTCAAAGTGCAAGGGTAATGATGCTGACAGTGTGGATATGCCAAAAGAAGGTGTTAAGTGCTTCCTTCAAGTGAAAAGGTGAAAGTAGAATTTTTATTACAGTATATTATTACAATTGTTCTACTTTATTGTTGATGTTAATCTCTTTCTTTGCCTAATTTTTCAATTAGATTTTAGCATAAGTATGTATGTATAAGAAAAAACATGGTATATGTAGGGTTTGGTACTATCCATGTTTTCAGATATCCACTGAGGGTCTTGGAAAATATCCCCCTTAGATAAGAGGAGGTACCCTACTGTGCTGCCTCTGCATTCTGCCTGAGACCCTAAAATCCAGGCTAGTTTTTGCTCTATTGCACTTCTAAGAGGGGCTAATAAAATGCTGTGAATGAATCGTAAGGGCAGCCTGATATGCACAGCCCAGTTTGGTCCTGTGCTGTCTAGGTCAGACATAACGAAGTGAGACTGAGGCAAGATGGTGGAGTTTGATGTCAGGCAGCACTGCTGTGCTGAGCCTTTCTGCTGATGGCAGAGGGTTTTATCAGTCCCTCAGATGCGCTGAGGAGAAAAAAAATTAACAGCTACCTTCCAGCCACATTCTGGCTTACCCCACCTGAGACTCAAACACTAACTACACACAGATGGGCAGCAACGCTGTATTTGCAATTAAACTGGTAGGGTACCAGTTGATGACAATAGCAGAATATTTGTTAGCTGGGTCCCAGACCATCCTTTTCCTCCTTTGAGGGACTCACCTAATTCCAAACAGTTGGAGGAATAACAATGACCAAAACAGGATTTATTCTCAGCAATTTTTTTTAAAAAATTGTTTTTTTAGTTGTAGGTGGGCACAATACCTTTATTTATTTATTTTCATGTTGTGCTGAGAATTGAACACAGTACCTCACATGTGCTTGGCAAGCACTCTACCACTGAGCTACAACCCCAGCATAATTCTCAGCAATTTTTTTTTTTTTTGAGAGAGAGAATCTTTTTTATAGATGGACACAACACAATGCCTTTATTTTTATGTGGTGCTGAGAATCGAATTCGGGTCCCACCCGTGCTAAGCGAGCGCTCTACCGCTGAGCCACAATTCTAGCCCCTCTCAGCAATTTTTAAGTTTATCAAAACACATTTGGAGGGGCTGGAATTGTAGTTCAGTGGTGGAGCACTTGCCTAGCATCTGTGAGGCACTGTGTTTGATCCTCAGCGCTACATAAAAATAAATAAAATAAAGGTATTATGTCCATCTACAACTCATATA